TCATCAGCGGCACCACCGCCCTCCCGAGCGCCGTGATGATTCTGTTCAAGCTCTTCACCTGTCGGAACACAAGCGCTACCCTGTACCTCCCTGTCAGCCTCCCGTCTCCTCACCAGCCTCGCCCCTCCCTCCTCCTTCCTCCTGACCTGAAGATCCGCACAAGCCCCAACACCTTCAGCTGCGGGTCTGTCTCGAAGGGAGTGACTACGAGTGAGACAACGACGACCATGAGGTCCATGATGTTCCAGGGGTCTGAGTAGAAGGGCTTGAAGTGGTTCTCGGACATGGCGAACGCTGCTACCGACACCTCTACTGTGAAGAAAGCTGTAACGACGATACCGACCAGTCGGACTATCCATCCCTCTAGAGACGAGACGGATGGTAGCTCCTCGGCCTCGTACACATCCACGAAGAAGTTGATGAAGATCAGCACTGACATCACTGCACGCACCCGTCAGTACCGACGTGTCTGCCGAATGTCATCAAGCACGACATGCAACCACATCTCAACACTCCTTCCTCCTTCCCTCGCTTGTCCTGCTCTTCCCCTCCCTACCAGTCCTGCTTCTTCTCCTCCTGCCTCCTTCCATCCTCCTCACTGCTTACCTATGTGTGTTGTCCGCGCCTTGATCAGCTTCTTCGCCTTGAAGCGCAGCCACAGATACTTGCTGTCCCCGATCTCTTGCAGCTCTTGCTCTTGCCGCTTCGCCTTCATCGCCAGCTTCAGCCCCGTCGACATGTCCTTGTGCCATTCCAGGCACTCCGCCTCCGTCTTCATCCGATACACGTACGTACGCCCGGAGTTGTGTCCTCCCTCTACCGTGCGGATGATGAGGCAAAGCTTCTCCTCGCGCTCGCTCTTGTTCTCCCCCTCCATCATCAGCTGCACCACCTCATGCAGCGGGATGTAGTCGATCACGGTCTCGTCGTCCTCGATGACGCCATCGTCGTTGAGGAAGCAGATCATGCGGTCGGTGAGGACGACGCCTTGTGTCTTCCATGTGACGACTGTACCAGCGATCTTCTTCTCGAGGATGCCAGATCGAAGCTGCTTGCCGCATTCTGCTAGTTTGAATGTCTTGTCATGCTGCAGATTTGCGAGAGAGCGAATCTCTGGGGATGGTTTTGATACGTTTCTCATTGATGATTGTTGTTGGTTTGCTTTAATCACTGGTACTGATGCAGCCATTTTCTTTCAGTCAGTATCTTGTTTTGTCACTCAAGAATTCCCCCTCAAAGAACTTCCCTCATATGTGCAATCTTGTTTCCTGTAAATGCTTCAATCTTGTCAGAGATCTTGCTCGCAATCAATGAAATCATCCTGCAGCAAACACTATCTGCTTCTCTCCCCCTTCATTCAATCTCTTCATTTTCTTTCATAATTCTCTCTCTTTCTGTCTTTCTTCATTTCTTGCTGTGATCTCTCTTTCCCTCCTCCTCTCCTCTATCCATCTCTCCTCCCTCTTTCCCTACTTCCACCATGACTGCTGCCATGACTGATCCTCTTCTCTCATTTGACCCACATCACTCTTCACTTTCCCTTGCTCGACTACCCCCCATATAAACCTTGTCCACCCACCCCTTTCCCGTCATAAGTTACCAGAGCCTCTACACCCCCCTTCCTTCCCAACAAAAGGTTTGACTGAAACCGTTTCCGACTACTACCCCTCCTTATCCCTCAAATAGTACCCCTCCACTCACCTCCTCGGGCAACCCTTCAAACCCAAGGGGGGACAGGGCCCCAGTGCATGCAGCCATGGCGACAACTTCGAGCCAGCTAGAGAAGTCAGACAGCAGCACTGCTGCGGCGCTCGAAGACAGAGGCCGGGGGGCACTCGGGTTGGTACACCAGAGCAGAGAGCAGAGCAGAAGCACGGCTGCCACAGGGGCCACCAGCCAACGGTCGGGCCGCCTTTGCAGTATCGCTCTCGCATGAGTCTTGCCGTCCTCCTCACAGGAGCCTTGCGCTACTGCTCTTTGTCCTGATCCCTGTTACCCTTTCTGTAACAAGCCGACACGTTCATCGCCTGCTCTCTCGCATGATCCCTCGGCTCCTACCCAGGCTGGAATAACCTAATGTAACTAGCTCAATCAAGATTGATCAGCAACACAGTCTCAAAATCTCTACAATAGACAGAATTGACTATACCTGAAATAATCCAACAAACAGTTGGCTGCTCAAGCTTCTCTCTTCGGTCTCAAGCCACTTCTTCAATCAATCGACAAGTTTATTGTCAGATGCAATGCAGACTGCAAGGAGCATTGCGTGTTGAGATCAGCGAGAGTCTTCGCATCAGATCTTTGACGCCGTCAAGCTCGCAACGACGGCAAGAAGGACTGTGGCAAAGGACGTGGGTGCCGAGCCCATAGCTGCTGAGCTTACTTTGGACACAGGTGTTGTAGCAACCGCTGCTGTCGTGTCCGCACAACCTCCGTCGGCCTTGGACGATGCGATCATAGTATCGAGAGCAGCGCTAGAAAACTCGCAGACGTTGGAGTAGGCGGTCCTCATTGAGCTGCAGCATAGCGCTACCTTAGGCTCAGTCGTCGTCGAGGGGCATTGAGAATCAGAAGTGCATCCCACCATCCCTGAGAATGTGAAAGAGGCAAGCGCGCAGTATGTCGCGCAGTCGGATCCCTTTGCCTCCTGCAATCATGAAACCAGTCACTATGCTACAAGCACGCTACTCTCTGACTTACATTGGTAGTGCACAATGCGTCAATGGATGTCTTGCATGCTGTAGCGTTGAACGTGGCTGATTGCAGAGTCTTGTTTAATGATGCAAGGCCTGCATCAGCCACGGCTTGCGACGCGCAAGGAAGATGTGAGACAGGAGGAGGAAGAGGAGGATGAGATGGTGGCTAAAGAGGAGGAGAGAGGAGAGAGATGGCTACCAGCAGCAGCTTTCTTCTCTGCTTTGTAGCATGTGCCAGCAAGAGCAGCTGCTACGAGCGTGAGGGATAGAAAGGCTCTCAGGGACAGCATGGCGAGTATCGCAGTTGACGCGTTGCCTCTTCTTTATAGCATGTTTGTAAGATTTGAACGAGGCTACTATCAGATTCGACTCGGAGCGTGCACGAAATTGGTATCTGAAATCTTCCGTTGAAATTTCAATATCAACATCCCTTTCCGAAACCTGTTTCAAAATACGGAATGAGGGATAGAAAGGCCGGGTCTCAGGGACAGCATGGCGAGTATCGCAGTTGAAGCGTTCTCTTCTTGACTTCTTTATTACCCCTTGGAAACTTTTGAGGGAAGTTAACATGGTCTGAATTACCCTCAGAAATTTGAAGCATCTATAGGGCATGTTTGTAAGATTTGAAATGTTGCTGAAGTTGAACGAGGCTACTATCAGATTCGAGCTCGCACGAAATTAGTATCTGAAATCTTCCGTTGAAATTTCAATATCAATATCCCTTTCCGAAACCTGTTTCAAAATACGGAATGAATTTGAAATGTTGCTGAAGTTGAACGAGGCTACTATCAGATTCGAGCTCGCACGAAATTAGTATCTGAAATCTTCCGATGAAATTTCAATATTAAACAAGGACTGGATCTTTCAGGGCTCGTTGAAATGCTTCAGGTTCAAAACTCTGGTACTAATTTGTACCCACAGTCAGTACTGACAAATGAGTAAATTAGTGATATATATGGTAAACATATTTGTACCAGTTACTTACTTTAATATCAATATATAAAGAATTCTCTTGTTTTGCTCATCAGTTAGTGGTAGTATCATTTGTCAGTACTGACTGATAGTAGCCTCGTTCAACTTCAGCAACATTTCAAATCTTACAAACATGCCCTATTGATGCTTCAAATTTCAGAGGGTGATTCAGACCATGTTAACTTCCCTCAAAAGTTCCCAAGGGGTAATAAAGAAAACAAAGAAGAGGCAACGCTACAACTGCGATACTCGCCATGCTGTCCCTGAGAGCCTTTCTATCCCTCACGCTCGTAGCAGCTGCTCTTGCTGGCACATGCTACAAAGCAGAGAAGAAAGCTGCTGCTGGTAGCCATCTCTCTCCTCTCTCCTCCTCTTTAGCCACCACCACCACCACCACCTCCTCCTCCTCCTGTCTCACATCTTCCTCCTCGTTCTTCCCGTCGCGGCGTATCCACCTCCCTCATGCCTGTCAAGGGTGATTGAGAGATACTTGAGCTGACGCTTGTCATAGGGGGATGTCCTGACTTGATCTTGAAGTTTGGGAGCTGTGCGTCGCAAACCGTGGCTGATGCAGGCCTTGCATCATTAAATAATACTCTGCAATTAGCCACGTTCAACGCTACAGCATGCAAGACATCCATTGACGCATTGTGCACTACCAATGTAAGTCAGAGAGTAGCGTGCTTGTAGCATAGTGACTGGTTTCATGATTGCAGAAGGCAAAGGGATCCGACTGCGCGACATACTGCGCGCTTGCCTCTTTCACATTCTCAGGGATGGTGGGATGCACTTCTGATTCTCAATGCCCCTCGACGACGACTGAGCCTAAGGTAGCGCAATGCTGCAGCTCAATGAGGACCGCCTACTCCAACGTCTGCGAGTTTTCTAGCGCTGCTCTCGATACTATGATCGCATCGTCCAAGGCCGACGGCAGTTGTGCGGACACCAGCTGTCCCTCGAGCACGACAGCAGCGGTTGCAACAACACCTGTGTCCAAAGTAAGCTCAGCAGCTATGGGCTCGGCACCCACGTCCTTTGCCACAGTCCTTCTTGCCGTCGTTGCGAGCTTGACGGCGTCAAAGATCTGATGCGAAGACTCTCGCTGATCTCAACACGCAATGCTCCTTGCAGTCTGCATTGCATCTGACAATAAACTTGTCGACCTCTGCGCTCTAGCGTCCGCGAGCTCCCATTCCACGAGCCTTTGCGTGCTGTTGAGGTAGAGCACGAGATGATAACTGCGGTAGAGACAGAAACAAGAGACCGGGAAGCATCAAGACCCGATGTCAAGTCTTGCGTCGTGCTAAGCTCGCCCATGACCCCCGACTGCATGTTGCCATGACGCGCTTGCATCGCAGAATCAAGCCAGCAGGCATTGGGCACATCACAACCGTTGGAGCCTCCGACCCATTAGATCGCCAGCAGAATGCACAAGATCAACTTCTGGATGTAGAGAGGGGGTCTGTAGCGCTTGATTTCGGCCTTGATGACATGTTCGGCTCGGGCTCTTCCGCTGGTAGTCTTTGATGTACTGAAACTCATAGGTAATGAAGACACCCTTCCAACCAAATTTGATGATCTGAGTGTATCTTGAATATACTTGGTGGTTGTCCAGAGCGACCGAGTGTCACGAGTCGCTCTGATGGAAGATGTACTCTCCTTTGGGTAGTTGGTCGACTAGAACAACACTACATTCATGGCATTGAGAACAGTGCGTGATTTAGTGTGTGTTGGAGAGAGCTTCTAACACTGAAGCCATCGAAGCGAGTCACGACATGGAAACATTGGTCTAGACAGAAATATCGCTCATAGCATTACTGAATGAACACCTCCAACAAATCATAAATAGGAGCGATGCTCCAACAGAATTGACTTTGTTCAATGATCTATTCACTTTTCACTTTGTTCAATGATCTATCCATTTTTCACGGTTCCGTATACAAAGATGATCAAGAAAGTTTGATCTAAGGGCTTTTGATGTATTCCATTGCATCGTGTATGATTCAATCCGAACAGGCCAGGCATTCATGAAAACAAGGAATACTTTTATTTTCATTGTGCCGTATGCGGCAATGAAACTGTCAGGGATTTACAGGACAGATCATGAAAACCGACAAAACGTACCATAAGCTAGTTGACTGCTCCCATCATCACGCTCCCAAGCGCTCATGATCCGAGAGACATCTCGATGAACTTCGCAATGTCAGGAGATAGAATTAATGAAATTAAATTCGAGTGACTGTGCGGGACTGAACTGATCGCTGTTTGAAACTTTTTCGCTGGAAGACATTCCTCAGAAGAGTTGCGGTACGAAAGGATACCTACCCTTAAAATGGTCTTCGCCTTTCCTCCATGACAACTGTGATCGTAAACCATCTCTAAAGCTTATTCCCTAGCATCTTCATGTTCACAAACGTCGCTCGTTCTCGTCCCAACGAGCCATGAAAGATTAACACTCCATCCCTCAAATAAATGAGGTGAGACATCTACAGTGATCATTGTGTTACTAGCGATGCTAGATCAGCGTAGCATACAATACAGCATGAGGAGAGAACAGACCTTCTACTAGCTGAACATGCTAATCCTTCTAAAGGCTAAGGGAAGCCTCCGGACTAGCCTAGTCCGCGCTGAGTCAATGCCCTCAGTGCTGCTCTCTGCCGTCATCGGGAGTCTACTAGTGACTTCGTGAACTTGATCCCCGGGGGCCCCGAGATCTCAGCTGGCCCGGCCCGGCCGCTGAGTCGGCGGCGGCCCGGCAGCCCGGCGGCAGTACCCTACCCTGGAAGCTAAACAAGCACCCGTCCATTTACTCCGTACTTTTGTACCATCCTTACATTGCAGTACCCTCCATCCGTCGGCAGTGACACCCCACCCCCACCTTGTTCACTCGGACTTTTCCGATTTGTCCAAGCTTTCATAGGGTGGGGTACCATACGAGTCGTTTGTGTTGCACTGGGACGGGTGGTCGGATATGATTGGTTGAAGGTCGTCAAATGGACGGGTCATTAGGGTCAAAAACTCCTGGGGGGAGGTAGGGTCCTCGTTGGGCCCACTGAGTCAAACGCCGTGGACCATGCCGGAAGACGCTGACAAGCGAAGTGAGCGATGAACCTCCTGCTCCTCCTCCTGCTCCGAGGCTCCTCCTGCCTCTGCTCCTCCTTACTTTCTTCTTCTTCTTCTTCTTCTCTTCTTGCTGCTCGTGCTCGTGCTCCCGCCGATCCCGCTGCTCTCCCTTGCTTTTTCTGCTCTTGTCGCGGCTGCTGTGCTTTTTGTGCAACGCTGCTGCTGCAATGCTTATTGTGCAACGCTGCTGCTGCTGCTGCTGCTGCTGCTGCTGCTGCTGCCCCATCCATTCGCCAGTGCCTTAATGCTGCTGCTCTTCTCCAAGGCCGAGCTCAGCTCGGTATATGTCTGTTTTAGGCTTCTCCTACTTTTATGGATTGATGTATCATGCTGATGAAGCTTACCTCTTGGGATGATTAACTCAACATGGCAGGTTCCGGTAAGGTGATTCTGAAGCTTAGCTCCATCTTCGACACTCCTGGAGTGCAGCAAGAGCCGCCTCTTCCCGCAACTAAGCACAGGACACCTCAACGCTCGGAAGATGGGCCGGTCTCGCGGGCAAAGGCCATGCTGGATAAGGAGCTAGCCATGAAATGTTCGCCGCAGGCATCGTTTCCAACGCCGAAGACTCCGAGAAATCCGACAGACAGCCTGGACAAGGCAAAACGAATGCTCAACGACACGCTCGAGAACATCGCAGCGATGGAGCGAGACAACATCTATGATAAGGAAGCAGCTGACCGGCAACGTGCTGAGGCGCACGCTCGCTTTGAGATGGCTCGAGCTGCTTTCATCCAGTCAGAAGCTGAGCCATCCAAGTCAGCCGAGAAGCCCATCGTTGCAGGCTCAACACCAGGAGAAGATGAAAGGTCTGCTCCGTCCAAGTCCATCGGTATGACCTTTACGTGTAACAACAATGCCATAGGCTGACCTCTCTTGCAGCTAAACCGAACCAATCTCCCGTCACTGCCCCGATAGCAACTCCTGAGGCAGAGAAGGCTGTTCCCCTCAAAGCGAACGTAATCACATCTGCGAAGAAAGAAGATGACGTCTTGAGCTCGCTGAACGGACGATCGCTCGTTCCCATGCGAATCAGTGAGATTCAGACCCACTACTCTGAGATTCAGACCCACTACTCTGGGGCTGCTGCTCAAAAAGTCGTTGCCAAAAAATCACCAGCGGAGTATCATGGGGAGGACACGATATCGTCCGAACCTGAGCCTCTTCCATGGATAGGATTCAAAACAACAACACTGGAATCTCAAACCAGCGGCATGCGAATGGAGAAGAACATGGATCGCTTGACAACATGGCGTCATCAGGAAGGCAAATGATAACTCACACACTCCCTGACGAGCCTCGAATCGAGCACGTGCAGAAAGACTTGTTCAGAGACACTACATACGAAGACGCCGCCTGTGATCAAGTTGAATCTCTTGAAATCACTGAGTCTTCTGAATCCGAGGTGAGTCCCCTCGGCCTTGTTGTCTCGATGTTCATATCATCATGGTCAGAATGAGACATCGATGGCGGACCAGCCCTTGCAGTTGGAAGCCGATCACAGGATCTATGACAGTACTCCAGCATACATCTTGAACAGGAGCGATGTTCAGACCGCTTACACGTCTTCTAACTTCTCCACTGACCATGCTCCATACGCTCAACTGTTTTCCTATCAACCCCCTGCGGCTGCTCAAGTCTTGCAATCTCATGATCAAAACCAGTTTTACAACGACCATCATCATCTCAATTCTCAACATCAAGAGCAGTTCGTCTTCAAGGTGATTTGATTCGGCTGTTGAAACAAGCTGACTAGATATCCGCAGGATGAAGGAGACCTGCACAGAAATCGAGCACCCATCGTCGTCAAGACTTCCTTCCCGGATGAACGTAAGTCTCATGATTGTGTATCTTGACTCGTGACTAGCTTCTTGTCAGCTGCTGTTTTTCGCGACTACAAGGAAGAAAGCCTGCCCTCCGTATACTCTGTCAGCAGCCGAGAAGATCCATCCTACCCATCAAACTTGCAGCGATCGCAGCAGATTTGGGTCCCCGAGTCTCTAGAGGTGACCCAGGGACAGGGAGGCAATGAGCATGACAAATGGTGTCAGTTGAAAACCATTTGCGAAGGCACCCTTCTTGGTCTCGATGGCCCCAGTGGCATCTGGAAGCCAAGATACTTTGTTCTTGTCGACCAGGTCGCCTCACTCCCTGTATCCATCGCCATGACCCTTCTGCTCGCAGAGCCTCTACTACTATCAGGACAGCAGAAAGCTCATCGCCATCGAGCGGATCACGCTAGATCACTCAACTAGCGTGAGCGCGTCGCTTCTGTGACTGCCATCATCTTGACGCTGGCGCAGGTCAAGGTGGTCGATGACGCCTACGGAAGGCAAGATGAGGACTAGCAGGATGGCTGGGTGCAACTAATGTCTCTTATGTCTCTTGGCAGGACGAACTGTTTCGTGCTAGAGACCAATTACGGGGAAGGGCTGACGTACCTGCTCTCCTCCAGCTCCGAAGAGGATCGCAGGAGGTTCTCCCCAAGTGCACGCGGCCAGCAGCGTTCTGAGCTGGTGGCTTTGCAGGTGGTGCGACTGTCTCAGGTCCTGTCTGGACGTCACCAACCACAAGCAACCCGACTGGATCCTGGACGGAATCTTCTCTCTCAGCATTCCCGTCCCCTCCTTCTTGTAATGACTTATAAAATACTCACATCCTCCTCCTCCCCATCGAGCCACCGTGACCGTCGGAATTGCCGAGACAACTCGGTGACAGCAGAGCAGCAGGAGGGTCGAGATTGGACTAGCATCACATTTGTGCCCAGCATCATGCACGAATGGGCTGTGGTGTGAATACGATCCTGTCATTGCACGGCGGAATCACAAACAACATAGTAATCAACTTTTCTCATGCAATTTTTTTGACAAAGAAACAATCTTCAATCGCTTGTGGCCTGTGGGCGTTTGGTAGCCTTAGCTTGCAATCGTCTTGTTCCTCGTTTACTGCGATGTTCGTTACTGAGATACTCTTCCTGCTCCTGCTCCTGCTCCTGCTCCTGCTCCTACTACTATTGTTCACTTGACATGACAGCAGTGACTGTTTGACATTATTTTGATCAGTTCGTATCTTATAGAAGAATCACATTCAAGGGATGTTGGATGATATGAAGTGCTCGTTTCAGTCTATTTCTAGGAGTTCAACTCTTTCTTCTCCAAGTTCGAATGTTATTACCATCAGAGAGATTGCACTGGAACTGTGGAAAAGATGCCGTGAAACCTGCTGGACTGTGAAAGAGAGTTTGTGACACCCACTGGGCTGATGAATCTTCTCTACTTCATTCAGCTGCTCAGGTCTTGTCCAGACTTCGTTCATCACCTACATGTCGCGCTGGTTGGTTGCTATTTGTATCGTTACATTAATGTAACGGCTTTATGCACACAGGACTAAACATGCTGGTCACGTACCCTCCCCCCTTCACCCCTCCTCTTTCCCAATATGACCCCACCCCTCCTATCATAGCCAATCATATACCGACGCTGATACCGACGTATCCCCTGTGTTCCCCCCAGGACCACCCCTACCACCGTCCCCCAAAGGTTTTACGTATCGAGGATACGCCTATGAATTATTAGAACCCTTCTCCCTCTCCCTCCCGCATCCGCTCCCGCGTCCTCTCCTGCCCCTCCCCTCCCCTCCTCCCTCCCCTCCTCTCCCTCAGTCTCCTCAGTCTCACTTGTACCTCCCCCCTCCCTTCACACACCCAACGCCTCATACACTGTGATACACACACACACACTCACCTACCGCCTACGAAGCTCCTAGCATGTTTCCTACTTCCCGTGCGCTCCCCGTCCTCGTCAGAGCCTCCAAGGCCTGCTCGTGGTCCTTGAGACGATCGATCAGCACCAAGGTACGGCATCTACTCCTTGCTCTGTCTGCGGCAGCTGACATGTCCTCAGGGCGGCTGGAGCTGGCCAGTGGTCAACCAAGGCAACCGAACGTTTGGAAAGATGAAAGGCCTTCAGGACGTGCTTCGGCCAGAAGCAAGCGCTCAGAGCGAGACGCAAGCGATGGAGGACGAGGCCACATGCAGGGAAGACACGATAGTCACGTGGAAGGATCTGATCCATAGACCGGAGGTAGGCCAGCGCACTCTTGCTTTCGATGCTGATAAAACAGTTCTAGTTGCTTACATACTGAGGCACACGAGTTGCATGTTGATAACAATAAATCGATCAATGACCTCCTGAAACTGTTGCTTGCCCTCTTCTCAACCCTCCAACCACACCTGCTTGTTCGATATATATCAATATCATCAGATGTTCTCTTTCAGCATGGAAACTTTGCTACTTTCTGATCAAGTGACAAGTAGCGGGCACATAGAGAATGGAGAGAGTGAGCAGCACGTCAGAGTGAGGCTAGGGACATCACAGGTCGACTGTGATGGAGCACTGCAGTCATAGAACAACACTGCTGATCTTCACCCATCACGGTCAGTGTGTCCTTGTAGTCATGTACCGCCCCCTTCCCACCCACCCCCCTTCCCCCATTTTCACCACCCCTCCTCACCCCATCACCGCCCGTCATATCGCCGGCCCCATTTTACGTATCCGGCTCATCGACTCCCCGCTATAAATATCCTCCTCCACTCTCCCTCCCGCATCCGCTCCCGCGTCCTCTCCTGCCCTCCCCTCCCCTCCTCTCCCTCAGCCTCCTCCCCTCCTCAGCCTCACTTGTACCTCCCCCTCCCTACACACACCCAACGCCTCATACACTGTGATACACACTCACTCACCTACCGCCTACGAAGCTCCTAGCATGTTTCCTACTTCCCGTGCGCTCCCCGTCCTCGTCAGAGCCTCCAAGGCCTGCTCGTGGTCCTTGAGACGATCGATCAGCACCAAGGTACGGCATCTACTCCTTGCTCTGTCTGCGGCAGCTGACATGTCCTCAGGGCGGCTGGAGCTGGCCAGTGGTCAACCAAGGCAACCGAACGTTTGGAAAGATGAAAGGCCTTCAGGACGTGCTTCGGCCGGAAGCAAGCGCTCAGAGCGAGACGCAAGCGATGGAGGACGAGGCCGCATGCAGGGAAGACACCATAGTCACGTGGAAGGATCTGATCCATAGACCGGAGGTAGGCCAGCGCAAATGAGCCCTTCGGGTCGAGGCATGGCTACTTGGGGGGCGGGAAGGAAGAAAGGGAGGGCGTAGATCATGGGGGCATGAAGGGGCTTGTACAGTAGAAGACGAGAGCCGATACGAACGAGCTTACAGGACGGAGGCGACATTCTCACAGGATGGGCGACTTGTGTGAGCGAGGGAGGAGCAGGAGGGGAAATGTAATTTGCGTTTGGTCAAATGAGCGAGGGAGGATGTTTGAATATAATCTCGATGTTTTCGAAGTTCTTCTCTGCTATGCACTTTTCCCCTCAAAAGAACATTTCTAGAAATGAAAATCTCTCTCAACAGTTAGATCGTTACCTTGTCACATTAATCTAAAGGTCCTCACCGAAAGCCCGCTGCATATTTGAGTTGATCAAATCGATGCAGAAGGAAAATTCATTACAAGACTTCTACTTTGATGAAAGCACAAGACGAGAATGAGGAGCAGAGCCGTGCATGCCGTCGCGTTCTACTCTGAAGCTTCTTCTCCAGGCTTCTTGACACTCGAATCGCTCCTGATAGTATCCATGTAATCGAACACGAAAGAAAGCTCGACGACATTGTTTGCACACTAGTAGGCAGAACCTGGAATAAACACAAAAGTTCCATCGGAAATCTCGGCAGGGCAACAGTGAAGTCGAACTCAAGGATAGCATGAAAAATTTAAAATGGCTGCCGGAGGAACTTGTGGATCAGAGAATCTGCACCAAGAGACCGTAAGAGACCCGACGAGGTTTTCACCTCATCCTCACAGACGCTTCACGTCAAACTCGCTTGTTCACTGCAGTCCTGCTCGAGTCTTTGACGGCGTCATCGTACACTCTCTTGGCGTAGATCGAAATGGCGATAGTGGAAGCAACACTGATCATGATACTGATCCACGAGCCGGCTCCTCCTCCCTCCTTGCTGCTCATATCCTTCATGCTCACTCCTATCCAACTGTACAGGATGCATCCCGGAAAGAGCCCAACGGCAGTTCCTACCGCAAAGTCTCGCATAGTCACCGCAGAGGCGCCGAGAGCATACCCGACCTGCGGACCGATAGCATGCTCGTCAGCCACCAGCCGCGGCAGCAGCATCTCACGTACCATGGCAAAGGGGAAGACGGGCGACAGACGCGCGAGGGTGATGATGAAGACAGCTCGTTTCTGCAGCGCCGCCTCGAGCGCAGACAATGTGGGGGACTCCTGGAGTCTCTTCCTGGCCCATTCCCTTGCTACGTATCGCCCGATGAAGAAGTTTGCCATGCTCCCAACGACGCATCCGACATTCATGATGGCGGCTCCAGGAAGGATGCCGAAGAGCATCCCAGCTGCAAAGTTCATGGGGGTGGTGGTGATAACCTGACGAGACGTCACCACACTGACGTCCCCGCCTCCTCCTCTCATGCCGAATCGCACGTCTTACCGCGGACATTGTGCACAGAGCAGTGATGAGGATGTGAAGGAGCGCGGCCATGGCTGGGTGCCTCCCCTCTAGCTGCTGCAGCGCAGCGCCCATCCAGCCGTCCACCATGGCACTTCCTAGCCGTTCCCCTCTACCTCCACCCCCTAGATATTCAGTGACCTCTACCCTTCAAAGGAATTTGAGTACCCCCTACCCCCAATATATCGTAAATTTGAAGATTTATGTACCCTTCTCAATTCCACATCACCCCCTATAATTCATTCACCCACCCCTACTCGACATCAATCCCTGAGTGGATCCTAGACTCTGCTCCCTTCCCCACTTGCTTCTCGCTCCTTCGCCTTCTCCTCCTCCCCCCCCCCCCCCTCCTTCCCTCCCGCACCCTCCCTGACGTCCTATCCCCTCCCTCCTCCCTCTCCCTGACTCCATGTCCTTCCCTAATCCTGCTTTGGTCCTCTAATCCTCCATCTCCTCCAACCAAGTTTGCTCCTGCCACCTGTCTTCCGACATCTCATACCTTGCATCATACGAAACGGGTGATGCTTCGTTCAATCATTGAGGAAAAGGACTAGTAGAACGAGGGACGAGGAGGGGGCGATCAATGTTTTCCGACCAATGTGTTGCATGTAGCAGCGGTGTGAGGATTATCGGTCAGCGACTTCCTCTCTTGACGTTGCTGTCAAGTCTCCTCCTCTATGACCACTTCACGCTCCTCTCCTCCTCTCCTCCTCTCCGACGGGCCTCGCACTGCCACCTCAGCATCGCACCACACACCTCGCTAGCTCTGAGAGGAGGAGAAGCCCCAGGAGCCCCTCTAGGTGACAGCGTGGAGGAGATCTCAGATCCGGAGAACAGCACACGGGCATCGGCAGTCTTGTCCTGTCGCCCTCCTAGGATGGAGAGCTCAGAGTCATTGACCGAGTCCTTCCAAGACGTGGACGATTGTAGGCAGTTCCTGTCGAAGATGCTGGGGAGCGAGGGCGTGCAGAGCTACTTGAAACAGAGGAGGAAGGCTCTCGGTCTCGAGCCCACTGCGACGTTGCTGAGCGACTCCAAGGACGCGGAAGGCAGCGAGCTGGAGGGGAACGAGCAGCCGTTGAACACGGAGATGGAGGATGAAGTGAAGGTCAAGGTAGAGGAAGAGAGCAAGGACGGCAATGAAGGCAAGGACAAGGAAGTGAACGAGGACGAAGGGATAGAACTCCTCAAAGCTCCTGCAGGTCTTGGCGAGGCGCAGGTCACGGATCAGACGAGGAAGCTGTATGAGGCTTGCTTGGAGGGAGACTTCGACAAGGTCAGGCAGGCGATCCAAGGAGGAGCAAACTTGACGCTCTGCGACTACTCCAAGAAGAAGCAGAGCGCGGCTCATCTCCTGGCCCTCTCAGGCAACATCAAGGCTCTGAGGTTGCTCGTCCGCAACGGCGCGGGAGTGCGGGCAAGGGATGTGAGTGCGGGAGGTAGGAGGGAGGCTGGTTGACGACGCCGCAGGTGGAAGGATACACTCCGCTCCACTACGCGGCGAAGAGAGGAGACGGGGACATGTGCGATGTGCTGATCGCGCTCGGGGCGCGAGTGACGGACGCGAACAAGTTGGGGCAGAATGCGATTGACACTAGCGAGTTCAATGGCCACGTGGCCTTGAGGCAAGCAGCTCCTCCCCTCCCAAAGCCTCCTCAGCCCTCCCTGTTCCTCTCCTCCTCCGTCCTCTCCTCCTCCGTCCTCTCTCCTCTCTCCTCGTTCCTGCCTCTTCCCTAAGACGCCCACAGCAAAACTCTCCACGAGTACGTGCAAGTCGACATGACGAGGAGGAGGTGGTTGGCCCGCGCATCTTGTCGCTCTTGACCTCCTCCAGGTACTCTGCATCAGCAGACCTCCACGAACCTCCGACCAGTCAGCAGCAGCTCGACGATTACTTGCGGCAGCTTGAGCACGAAGAGCTGCTGGAAGAGGAGAGGTCCAAGAGGAGGACCCAATCCAAGAATCAAGGGCTGGGAGTCAGTACATCACGACCAAGGTCTTCGTCCTCGAACAGGAAGAGGAGAGTCACGACGGGGCGCAACGAGGAGGACGAGGAGGAGGACGAGGAAGGGCCCGAGGACTTGCCCCCGTGGTTTCGATGAAATATCTGTCAAAAGCATCCCATTGCACAGTCGTTAGGCGTCGTCCTGCTCCGACAGTCCGAGCGGGTCGTGCTGCGCGCGAGTCAGTGGGAAGAGGCGATAGCCAGCAGTACCTTGGGACCCCCTGGGGTTTGTCTCCGAGGATGCCGCGATGTTCCGATCATCAGGTTTTGCGGCTCCCAGTCGCTCCCGTACTCTTCCAGCCTCTCCCTGCTGGCAACCAGGTGGTGGCTCTGCGCCTTCCCCTCTGCTGCGAACGCTTCCCACATAAGGAACCAGGATCGCTCGAAGCCCTTGGCCCAGAAGGCCGTGTCGAAGAAAGTAGAGTCCCTAATCCCGGCCTCCATCTCCTCCTTCGCCCTCCTGATCGCCTCTGGCTTCGACGCCAACCTCACTGCGATCTCCTCGTAGTCCTCCAGGCTCCTCGCCAGCCATCGCGTCACCCCGAGCGCGTACGCCATGCTCGCCCCCGCCCTCGAGCGCATCTGCTCCCCCGACAGGCTCACTAGCGGCAGGCCCGACCAGAGCGTGTCGGCTCCTGTAGTGTGCCCGTTGAACATGTTGGTGTCAAGTGCCACGTCAGCAACCGCCTTGATCGCCAGGTGCGAGTCAATCGGCAGGAGACTCGTCAGCACCAGCCGATCGCGCGGCAGTCCGCGCTTGTCAGCCTCCTTGAGCAGGCGCTTCACAGCCTCCTTGGGGAACTTGAGCAGCCACAGCGACGTGTTACTCGTCCTCTTGATAATCCGCACCCACACGTCAAAGAGGCTCGGCTCAACCTTGTACAGCTGCCCGAAGTTCCCGAAGATGATGCCGGAGGACGGCAGCTTGTACTCCTGGCGGGTGGGAGAGTGCTCGAAGGGGCGAGGGTAGAGCTGGCGGTGGTCGTTGACGAAGTAGGAGTAGGGGAGAAAGACGAGCTTCTCGTAGTAGAGGTGCTCCGTCTCAGGAGGCGCAACCCACTTGTCGGCGATCAGAAAGTCGGCGAGCCCCCCGGACGTCGAGGGGTAACCGAGGTACGCGATGAGGATGGGAGCAGGCCGTCGCAGGAGCACCCCCATCCTCGACCCCTTGCTGTGCCCGTTGAGGTCCACCAGGATGTGAGCCTCGAGGGCATCGACCTGAGCACGAGCGTCAGAGAAGAAGCAAGTCAGGAGTGGGAGCGCACCGCGAAGGCGGCAGCGTGATCGGTCATGGCATGAATGTTCAGCCATCGGTCGACGCTTGTCTGCATGTCGATGTTCCATTCTGTTCCATCCCCCTTCATCATCCCGATGCCGAAGATCTCGACCCGATGCCGGTTGTGCATCTTCAGCAGGTTGCGGATCAGTGACCCGACCGTGTGCCCCCCAAAGTCTGCCGACATGTACCCGACTCGCAGCCGATCCACCCGCGGGTCCAGGTGCCTAGCTGGGCTCGTCTTGAACATAGACTTTGCGGGCACTCGCACGCGCTCCTGGTCGACGACCTTCTTGGTCACATTCATGAACAGGATGGGCGAGAGAGGATACGCGAACGCGCGGAAGGGCTGGACGCACGGCTCGTTGCTCGCCTGGCTGGGGTGGAGGTTCTCCTCAAGGTACTTCGACACTTGCCGCATGTCCGTCGATAGAGTGTTCCATCCGCACAGGAAGTGCTCCAGGTAGACCTTGGCGCAGAACGCGTCCGCGAAGGAGGAGCTCCCATGCTTCAAGGCAAGCTTGTACGCCTCCAGCGCCTTCTCTAGCTGCTGGGAGTTCTCGAGCGCGCGGCCCCAGTTGTTGTAACCTGCCCCCATGGAAGGCTTCAGCCGGATTGCCAGCTCCGTCAGCCTCACTGCCGTCTCCGAGTCCCCGAGGTCTTGGATCGCGATTCCCAGGTTCGTGTATGCTTCCGCCAGCTCCGGGTCGATCTTTACCGCCAGCTCCAACGACTCCCGTGCGAGCTCGTTGTGTTTCCTCCCCTGGTGGATCGTCCCCATGTTGGTGTAGGCGGCCGCAAACTTGGGGTTGATCCTTGTCGCCTCCTTATACGCCTCAAGACTTTTGTCCGTCTTACCTAGCGCCCCCCAGCAGTTGGCGATGTGGAAGTGAGCTGTCGCCTGCTTCTCTACCTCCATCGACGAGGCCGGCACCCTCTCCAGCAGCAGCATGAAGACATCGAGAGCCTCCTGCCACCTCCCCATCTCCTGGTACGCGTTCCCCCAGTACGTGTATGCCTCTCCGAACTGCGGGATCAGCTGAGTGGCGACCTTGAACTTCTCTGCCGCCAGCGCCATCGCGCCCTCGAACAAGCCCCCTCCTCCCCCCTCCGCGTACAGGTATCCCAGGTTGATGTGGACAGCCGCCCAGTACTGATCTCCTCCCGCCTTGTTCCTGGGCTCATCCATCATGGAGATCGCGGCCTCGTATGAGCGCGCTGCCTCGTCCTTCCTGCCCATCGCCCGGAGGGCTGTAGCGAGCTGAGTGTGGTAGTCTGAATACCCCGGGTCCATCTCAACCGCCCTCTGGTACTTGCTCATGGCCAGTTGAAAGTTCCCTTTGTCCAGCGCTGCTGCTCCTTCCTGGGCAGCGAATTTGGCCTTGAGGATGGCGCCACTGTCCCCTCCTCCTCCCCGCTTGCTCTTGGACTTCTTCTGCTGGACGCTTGAGTCCAAGCAGCAGAGGAGGAGGAGGAGCGCGAGGGACAACGATGACTTTGACTTCATCATGCTGTGATTACAGGCTGAGATGCCGTGAGCGTTGGGAGAGAGGATCAAGAGGTGCAATTCAGTGACGGTGAGGAGGAGAAAGAAGGAGGATGATGGGAGAGATATCACACGGAAGGATGACAAGGAGGAGGAAGAAAAAGAAGTAGAGGGGAAAGAGGATGGAGGGGGAGGGGAAGGGGGAGGATGGATGATGATGATGAGGAGGAGGAGGAGGAGGAGGAGGAGGAGGAAGAGGAGGAGAGGGTTGCTTCAACTTGTCTCGCAGCTTCGAGCGAGCGCTTGATCGCTAGGAAGGGCGCCTCATCTTGCTGCTCATCGCCCTCCTCCCCCACAATTCACGGGCCCGCCCCTGGGCCCGCCCCAGCCCGCCCCGGCTAACGGTCCGATCATTTGATCGCCGGATCATGATGCAGCAGCCCGGTATGAACCAGGGCCTGGCACTGCTTGGAAGTTTGTCAGCGGGGTTGGGGTTCAAATGATACCACAAGTTGTACCGGACGTACTAACACATCATGAGGAGAACCGCCTTGGCATGACCATACCCTGACCGTACCCTGAAAGTGAAGGCCAGCATCCTTGCCGCACTGGACGTGTAGTCAGCGCATGGTGACCGTCCCTGGCTTTACCCCGAAAGTGCACTGAGCGGCGCCGGTCACCGAACAGTCCGAGCGGAACTTCAAGGCTTGGGCTTGACTCAGAAATCGGAGCCTCGGAGCCTCCGACGATCGCGGGCCGGCGGGGCCCGGGGAGCGGCCGGGCCCAGCTAAGTTCATGTTTCCTGTGAGGTGTCACTGCAATGTGGGGTAGAGGGGACGGTGGGGGTAGTAAAAGTGGGGGTAGATGTTTACTTTTGATTAAGGGGAGGGGTAGTGGACTGAAGTAAACTTCCTGCCGAATATATACTACAACACCGAATACCCTACCCTCCAATATTCTGAGGTGGACAGGGGTAATCAGATGCTGCATGTAAAGGGTGCTGGGGCGCTTTGTCGGGGAATGCGACCAACACGTGCGGGTGGGGTAGTGGTTTTGGGAAACGAGGGTGGTAGGGTCATTGGTTTAGGAGGGTGGTTCACTGAGAACTTTTGGGCGTTTGAGGGTAGGGTCCTCTCAGAACCGGTGGATTTTGATGACCATTGAAGGGGCGAAGAGGGTAGATGGTGTTGAGGGTGTTCCGATTGAGGGGGGTAGGGGGATAATGGGGTGAGGGGGTTGGTAGGGGGTGTATGCATTTTAGAAGGCTGGGGAGTTTGACTTGGGGATGGGAATGGCGGTGGCGTCTGCTACAGTGTCCCGCGCCATGTCCAAGAGGATAGAAGACATGAAGGCGTCTTCCTCCTCGTCCGACTTGTCTCCTTCTCAACTTCAACCTTCCTCTGCAGCAAGCGCACCCAAGGGATCAAACTCACCGCTCAACTTGTTGAAGAGAAAAAATTCGGAACCCAGCATTCATGGAAGCTTGGTGGAGGAATTGAAGCTGCGAGAATGCGGCAAGCAGCTTCGATCTGGCATCCTCGAGAAGAAGATCGCTGGTACAGTCGTCACATGGAAGACACAAGGCGTCGTCCTCACCGACCGCATGATCTGCTTCCTCAACGACGATGGCGTCATCGAGGACGACGAGACCGTGATCGACTACATCCCGCTGCATGAGGTGGTGCAGCTGATGATGGAGGGGGAGAACAAGAGTGAGCGCGAGGAGAAGCTTTGCCTCATCATCCGCACGGTAGAGGGAGGACACAACTCCGGGCGTACGTACGTGTATCGGATGAAGACGGAGGCGGAGTGCCTGGAATGGCACAAGGACATGTCGACGGGGCTGAAGCTGGCGATGAAGGCGAAGCGGAAGGAGAATGCGCTGAAAGAGATCGGGGACAGCAAGTATCTGTGGCTGCGCTTCAAGGCGAAGAAGCTGATCAAGGCGCGGACAACACACATAGGTAAGCAGCGAGAAGGAGGCAGGAAGAGAAGCAGAGCAAGCAAGAGATGGAGGGAAAGCCCATGAGAGAAGTTGAACCTTCAGGAAGATGGTGACGATTGTGTGCAGTGATGTCAGTGCTGATTTTCCTCAACTTCTTCGTGGATGTGTTCGAGGCAGAGAGCCTGCCCGAGGCGTCATCAAGCGATGGATTGTTTGTGAGGACGGTAGGGATACTTGTTACAGCTTTCTTCACAGTAGAGGTGTCGGTAGCAGCGTTCGCCATGTCCGAGAACCACTTCAAGCCCTTCTACTCAGACCCCTGGAACATCATGGACCTCATGGTCGTCGTCATCTCTCTCGTAGTCACTCCCTTCGAGACAGACCCGCAGCTGAAGGTGTTGGGGCTTGTGCGGATCTTCAGGTCAGGAGGAAGGAGGAGGGAGGGGCGAGGCTGGTGAGGAGACGGGAGGCTGACAGGGAGGTACAGGGTAGCGCTTGTGTTCCGACAGGTGAAGAGCTCGCACACAATCATCACGGCGCTGGGGAGGGCGGTGGTGCCGCTGATGAACGCGTTCATGCTGCTGCTGCTGGTGTCGTGCTTCTACGCGATCCTGGGACGCATCTGTTCAAGGACTACAACAAGACTTCTTCGGTCCTTCAGCGCGTCGCTCTTG